TACTCAAAATCCCTTTTCCCCCCCAAAACGTCCCCGGGCTATTTCCTCACCCCCCACGTCCCGTTGTTGCTCCTCCTCCTCCATCTCCGCTGTCCGCCTGTAGTCCCGGTGGCTGCCGGTGTTGTCCCCGGTGGTGTCCCCGTTCCCGGTGTTGTCCCCGGTATTCCCGGTGTTATTCCCGGTGTTATTCCCGGTGTTATTCCCGGTGTTATTCCCGGTGCTGTTCCCGGTGTTGTCCCCGGTGTTGTCCCCGTTCCCGGTGCCGTCCCCGTCCCCGCGGCGGTGCCGGAGGGCGGCGCGCAGCAGCGCCCCCCGCAGGCCGTGGCGAGCGGCCGCCCGCAGCAGCTGGGCGTCGTGCGCCCCCGGCAGCCACCAGGGCGGCAGCAGCGAGCCGGGGCCCGGCAGCCGCGCCAGCAGCGCCGGCAGCGCCGGGTGCGGCAACACCCGCTCGCGCAGACAGCGCAGCAGCGCCAGGCGCCGCAGGCAGCGCAGCGCCAGCGCCGGCGACACCGGGACGGGAGGAGGGGACAGCGCGGGCGGCACTGGGGGAGACAGAACGGGGTGGAAACAGTCAGCAATGGGAAAAAGGGGGAGAAAAATGGCAAAAAATGGGATAAAAATGGGCAAATTTAGGTTAAAAATGGGCAAATTTGGGTTAAAAATGGGTTAATTTGGGTTATAAATGGGTGAATTTGGGTTATAAATGGGTGAATTTGGGTTATAAATGGGTAATTTGGGTTATAAATGGGTAATTTGGGTTATAAATGGGTGAATTTGGGTTATAAATGGGTAATTTGGGTTATAAATGGGTGAATTTGGGTTATAAATGGGTAATTTGGGTTATAAATGGGTGAATTTGGGTTATAAATGGGTGAATTTGGATTAAAAATGGGTGAATTTGGATTAAAAATGGGTGAATTTGGGTTAAAATGGGTAATTTGGGTTATAAATGGGTGAATTTGGGTTATAAATGGGTGAATTTGGGTTAAAAATGGGTGAATTTGGGTTATAAATGGGTAATTTGGGTTATAAAAGGGGGAATTTGGGTTATAAATGGGTGAATTTGGGTTAAAATGGGTGAATTTGGGTTATAAATGGGTGAATTTGGGTTAAAATGGGTGAATTTGGGTTATAAATGGGTAATTTGGGTTATAAATGGGTGAATTTGCGTTATAAATGGATAAATTTGGGTTATAAATGGGCGAATTTGGGTTAAAATGGGTCAATTTGGGTTAAAATGGGTGAATTTGGGTTATAAATGGGTAATTTGGGTTATAAATGGGTGAATTTGGGTTATAAATGGGTAATTTGGGTTATAAATGGGTGAATTTGGGTTAAAATGGGTAATTTGGGTTATAAATGGGTAATTTGGGTTAAAAATGGGTAATTCGGGTTAAAAATGGGTAAATCCGGGTTTAGGTTTGCGGTGGGTTTGGGGTGGCGGTTTCAGGTCGGGTTTGGCGTGGTTTTGGGATATTTTGAGATGGTTTTGGGTCAGTTTTGGGGGATTTTGGGACATTTTGGGTCAGTTTTGGGTCAGTTACCGTCGCCAGGAGCCGGCGGCAGGCGGCACAGCCGCCGGCACATGGCCACGGTTTGGGATGGAGGTTTCAGGTCGGGTTTGGGATGGAGGTTTCAGGATGGTTTCGGGATGATTTTGGGGTGATTTTGGTCAGTTTTGGGTCAGTTACCGTCGCCAGGAGCCGGCGGCAGGCGGCACAGCCGCCGGCACATGGCCACGGTTTGGGATGGAGGTTTCAGGATGGTTTCGGGATGATTTTGGGGTGATTTTGGTCAGTTTTGGGTCAGTTACCGTCGCCAGGAGCCGGCGGCAGGCGGCACAGCCGCCGGCACATGGCCACGGTTTGGGATGGAGGTTTCAGGATGGTTTCGGGATGATTTTGGGGTGATTTTGGTCAGTTTTGGGTCAGTTACCGTCGCCAGGAGCCGGCGGCAGGCGGCACACCTGCCGGCACATGGCCACGAAGCCGTGGTAGAAGCGCGTCAGGTCCTCGTCCGAGCGCCGCTCCAGGTTGGCCAAGGCCCGGAACCTTCCCCAGCGGAACCGGCCCGAGCCCGGCTCCAGCTCCACCCCGAAGGTGGAGGCCACGCGCAGGAAATCGGCCTGTTCCCGCCGGGTCCAGCTGGAACGGGGCAAAAACGGGGAAAAACGGTGAAAAAACGGTGAAAAACGGTGAAAAACGGTGAAAAAACGGTGAAAAAACACCCA